AAGATTGTCAGGAAAAAAAAATTTGATAAAAAAAAAAAATGTAAAAATAGTCAGAAAAAAATTTAATTAAAAAATCAATTTTTTAAAATATTTGTTACTAATAAATAAATAAAAAAAAAAAAAAAAATAAATTTTTTTTTTTAGAGAAAGGAAATGAAATATTTTTTGTGATGACTTTTGTAAAAGAAAATTTTATACATATAACAATAAAATTTTCATGTAATTAATATTTATATAACTTTTTGTATTTGTCAATAATTGTTTATGTTTGTTAATTCAACGGCAATATATATTAATTGCTGAATGTAACTCATAACAAATAAAATAGTAATTTATAAAACATTAATAATTAATGTTCAATAAGGATTTAAATTTTTAATAAAAATAAGGATTTTTATTAAAGTAAATAAATGCCTATTGAAATAAAAGAATTGTGAACGAAGTAGATTATAATTAAAGATTACTCGTTCAAAGCAAATAAAAATATATATAAATATACAAAAATCGTAGAGGCATCTCTACATGCTCTTTATTAATTGGTTTGTTCAGTACTATAGTAAAGTCCCCGAACACACAGTTAATAAACCAACACTACAGTGCATATCTCTTTAAATATTATAATAAAAAAAAAAAATTATTTTTTTTTGCACTCTATTATATATATTTATTCTTTTTTAAGATATAAATTAGGCATATATAGAAAAAAAAAAAAAAAAAAAAAAAAAAGACCAAAATATGAACATTAGTGATAATTTTTTTTTTAGATATGTATCTAGGTAGGATATACTATAAATAATAAAATATTTTAATATTTTATTATTATAATGCATGATATTGAATGTATTAATGTGTCGGTTAATAAAAGGAATTGTTAACCTTTTTTGATAATGAAAATAAGTATCTATATGGAAAAAACGTAGTTAACCATGCAAGCAATAGATAGATAAAAAAAAAAGAAAATTATTAATTTCTTTTGTTTTCTTTCTATAAAGAATATATATAAAAAAATATATTTATTATTTGTTGGGAAGAGATTTAATAATTGAAAAAAAATAATGGTTGAAAAATATATTAAGTAGTTTATTGAATAAAGGGTTTTCTTTTACAGGGAATTTTTATTTTGAATTTATATAAGAAAATTTTATATTAACAACAGTTAAATTTTCATGTTAGTATTGTTTATATAATTTAATATGTATTTCATTAATTATTTATGCTTGTTAACAAGAAAACATCGGGTTTGAGCTACTAAACATTATTCGTAATATTATAATTAAAATATATTCAATTAAAAATTAATAAGAAAATTTAAATTTTTAATAAAAATAGATATTTTTATCAAAGTAAATAAATGTCTCTTGAAAATAAAGAATTCTCAACTAGGTAGATTACTTAAATACAGTTTACTTGTTTTATAGTATTTAAAATTATACATAAATTCATCAAATTAGTTGAAGTAACTCTATATGCTCTTTATTAATATGTTTGTTTAGTGCTCTAGCAAAGTCATTGAAGAGATAATTAATAAATCACCTATTGAATAGTTATATCTTATTATATGCATTCATTTTAACAAAACGTATTTAGAGAAATGTCTACCAATTACTTATTATGAAACCACTTAATGTAGACAATTATAAACTTTTTATGTAATATCAAATAAATAAATTCATTTTATATCTTACTTTTTCAATCATATTTTTCAATAATTTTTATTATATATTATTATATCTTATTTTTAAACTTAAATTTTTTGTAAACAAAATTATTTTAAAAAAAAAGAGTAATCATTCATTTTATTTTTTTACATTCACACAGAAAAACTACCAAAATGAAAATATAAATTTCTTTTTTAAAATTGATATACACACACTTTATTATACTTGTTTCATTAATCATATCATTGTAAACATGTCTTTAGATATGTATTTTCATATAATTATTTTTAAATACTAAGTCTTTTTTATGTATATTCACATAAGCATGTTTAAAATATCTTGCTTACACTAGGAACATTTTTATGTAGTATTTTTCATATATTCAAATTACGATAGACCAATAATATCTTTTATTAGCAAATTGATAAAAAAGTTTAACACAAGTTCTCATTTCTCATAAAAAAAAATAATTAAATTAAAAAAATATAAGAAAATTTTCTTTCTCTTATCTAGAGAATATATATAGATAATTTACTATTTTCATTTTAAGTTACTAACTTTTATTTCATAAAAGGTTAATAATACCTTTTATTAATCTATAACGAAGTAGATATTACACTACAAGGTCTCTATTAATTATACATTTCAAATAACTACAAGATCCTTTGAATGATTAATTAATAATAACTTGTACTAACTAGGAAAAAAGATGATAGAGAAAGCGTAACATAGATTATCGTTATTTCAATAAATATAAGGATGATTATTTATGCACTATTTCACATAAAAAAATTACATTTTAAGATTTTTGTGGTTTTGGGTTGTTTTAAATGGTATACCTTAAAGTTGTATATTTTAACATTACATTGGAAAAGCACATATAATATGCAAATTTATAGTTCTGAGAGGTGGATAATTTGTTTTTATTTCCTTTATATTTAAAATACAAATCTTCATAATTACAAAGAATAATTGATATTTTTATGAAATTAACTCGAGAGTAAAGTGCTTGTTATAATGAAGATATAATTATTCTTATATGGACAATTAATGAGAATTTTCATATATTAAGAAGAATGTTAATAAAGTGAGTTATCAATTTTTTTAGACGTAAACTTATGATACACACAACATTATGATATTTGAGAACTTTTTAAAATAATTAAAAAAAAGATTGATAATTGAAATGATAAAAAAAACAAAATAGTATTCAAGAAGGTATAAATTTATGAAATACACTTTTTTTTTTGAAAATTTTACATTAAGAGTATTAAATTTTTTATGTAAAAAAATTACAGTAAGTATATGAATTTAAATTCAAAGAAATATTTTTCTTTTCTTATTTAAATTTTTTGAAGATATGTATCTATAAAGAGAAGAAAATAAAAGTATCGAAATTAAATATTTTTATTAAAGATTCTACTTTTATATTCAAGTAATTATGTTGATAATACACGTTTTAGCTTTTGCATTTTTTGAAAATTGAGTATTCACGAATAATATAGGATTTAAAATTAATCACATATGAATTAATTACAGCTATTAAAGTGGCAGTGATTACATACCTTTTATCAGAACGTTTGATCAGCATATCACAAAAGTATTGTATAGAAATATGATGAACTATAATGTTAAAAATTAAATTCTTTTTATTTTATATTACTAAAATTTAAATTAAAAAAAATAGTATAAATATATAAATGAATTTTTTAATACAACTTTTCCTTTACAAATAAAATAAAAAATCTAAAAGACTTTACGTAAGCTCATAAAGAAGCATTATTTGATATATTTTACATAAAAATAACAATAAGATATAATTAATATTATTTATTACAATGAGGACAATAAAATAAAAAAATTTCATAAAATTGTTTATAAACATTCCTCTAAAGTTACAGATAACTTTTTTAAATAATCAATTTTTTATCATTTTAATGAAAAACATCATCAATATTATACTTAAATTATTAATAAGTTTTTATTTTTTCTTAAATAATAATACATTTGTATTTTCATTTATTTAAAGAATTTATAAGCATTTTTTATGTCGTACATTTATTTAAAATATGGTTAAAGCATAACTTTTAAAAACATAAATCATTTATTGAACTATTTAGTAAAAAAAATATATAAGATAAAATATTTAAATGTTAAAACTATTTATTATGATAATCTAGTAATTTTAAAATATTTTATTATTTTATTGTTTCTTTCTTTAAAAGTCATTTAGATTAAAAATCTTAAAAAAAATTATAGTGTATAAGTTTAAATAAATGTATATATTTATTAAAAGCTACAAATATTACCTAATAAAATAATAAAAAAAAGAATGCTAATATGTAGTATTCATATCTATATGATATATAGTCAAGTAATGTAAAAATATAAGAACAAATGATTCATGAAATCCTTTTTTCAATAACAAAAGGCATTATACGTTAAAAAATTTATAAATATCTATAATTGTAAAAAATTATTGAATTTTANCGCAAATACAAATACATCTACAGATTTATTTACACTTACGCCTACAAATTCAAGTATTAATTCCACATTAATTACTAATAATTCTCTCTGATATGCCAGTCGCTCTTATGTACCTCAACACATATCCCTGGTTGTGGAGTCTTCATTATTGGTGGTGAAGTAGTCATTGACTATTTCTTGTCAAGACATGGTGAAATTACCTTTGAATGAAAAGACTCATGGGATAGTACTACAGCAGTGATAATGCAGGGCTTAGCATGTGCTGCAAAATCTGTTTCAGTGTGGTTATCTGTGTGGATCACCTTGCTGCTAAACTACCAGTTTTCTGTGACAAGTATAAACATCTCTCTTGCACTGTTAGCACAGACTACAGGCACTGCAGTAGATGTGCATCCAAAGTCATGCTACAAATTATGCTTGTAATTCAAAGTGTGTTTGCATATAGAAAAATAAAATCAAGAACTATTTAGTGGATTATGTGAGTGTCTAAAGCAATCTGGTTGCATGAAAATAGAGTGCAGAATAAACTGGTTTATTTTTCTGATGGATGATGCTCCAGAAACTATTTACCTGAAAATGACAAATGCAAGATTAAGGCAGGAAAATGAAATTATGGGGATAAATTATACATAATCACCATGGAGAGAAAAGGTACTGGAATAGAAATTCCTCTGTGGTAAATTCTTGGAAGCTCTCATAAAAACAGTGGATTATTGATTTCAAGATCATGAACACTTGCCCAATATTTAATGTGCTAAAGTAAGTGGCAAGTAGGACTGGAAAACGTGCCAAGTGAGAAAAAAATCACTTCCTCTCCTTTGTCACACTTTTTATATATCAATGAATTTGCTCTTAAAATGTCTGTCTAGATAAAAGCATCTTGCAAGTAATTATCCTAGAATATCTATATGGTCCATAACGTTCATATTTAAATATATTTCTTGAAATATCATTTGAAACATTATTTAAGGGACGATATAATTTAACTAATTTCTTATCCAGACTACAATATGATTTTTCAAATTTATTTTGTTTTATAGAACATATACTCATACGGCATATCGCAGAGTCTTCTTCAAAATTTTCGCATCCTTCATTATATAAAAGAGCCATTTCTGAATGTAAAATAAGATATATATATTTTTCTTACTTTTTACTCTTTATGTCTTTGTAAATTTTTGACCTTAATATATTTTTGTAGAGCTATTTTTTTTTAATAATTCATTTTTTGTAAATTTTATTATATTTCTCATAAAAAATATAGTTTCTAGTGCAATAGATAATATTTATAAAAATTAAAAACTAGATATAATTTATTATTTAAATATTTACGTTTAATTATATTTTTTTTTTTAAAAAATATATTTTTTTAAATTTAACAATAATAGGATATTCTTTATTTATACTTATCATTCATTTATGTCGTACATTTATTTAAAATATGGTTAAAGCATAACTTTTAAAAACATAAATCATTTATTGAACTATTTAGTAAAAAAAATATATAAGATAAAATATTTAAATGTTAAAACTATTTATTATGATAATCTAGTAATTTTAAAATATTTTATTATTTTATTGTTTCTTTCTTTAAAAGTCATTTAGATTAAAAATCTTAAAAAAAATTATAGTGTATAAGTTTAAATAAATGTATATATTTATTAAAAGCTACAAATATTACCTAATAAAATAATAAAAAAAAGAATGCTAATATGTAGTATTCATATCTATATGATATATAGTCAAGTAATGTAAAAATATAAGAACAAATGATTCATGAAATCCTTTTTTCAATAACAAAAGGCATTATACGTTAAAAAATTTATAAATATCTATAATTGTAAAAAATTATTGAATTTTACTAAAAAAATCACATTTATTTTTCATGAATTACAAATATATCCTCATTATATTCTATGGAAATTTTTATTTATTTGTGAAAAATATATTTTTTTTATATATAAAAAAGGAGTTTTTATTTCAATTCATTTATATAAGATTTTTCCAATATTTTTTTCAAAAAAAACAATGTAAGAAAAACATTAGCTTCTAAATTGGATTTTTCATAATCGCCACCTTTATTACCCATATCTTCGGGAAATAAGGATTTCAAAAAATCAGTAATTAAAAAAACATTCTCCATCTTTAGTTGTGCACCTATTATTAATTTTCTAAGATTTACTATATTTAATCTTGATGAATAAAATTCATAACTCTTTCTTAAATTTAATGCAATTTCTGCAACCCTACTTTTTTTAGTACTTAATTCTTCAAGTAAATGTAATTTCATGTCATGAGGTAAAACTCCCTCTGTTTCATTTTTAGATTTTGTAGTTTTTTCTGGCAAATTCATTCCTTTCAATGATTTACGGATATCCAAAAGTTCATTTATTTGGTTCAAAAAATTTACAATTTTTACTATTTCCATATAGGCTTTATACAAGGAAAGTAGAATTTTAAATTTATCTCCTTTTTTTTGAAGTGCAGAAAAATATTCAATAATTTTTTTTTCTTTAGTTATATTTGAAACAAAGACTTCCCTAGATTTTTTATGGCACTCGAAAACTTCAAGCTCTTCCTTGATATAAACATCCAAAAGTGACTGGATAGCTTCTTTATCATCTAAACTTTTCATATTATTCATTAAATAATTTTTACATTTAATATTATATTTATAAAAAAAATTAAAAATATTTTCCATTTCCATTAATTCACATGACATATTTAATAAATTTAAATATCTTAAATATTTCTGTTTACAGCTGTTTAACGATCCTAATATTTTTTTTTTAATTGATAACAATGATTGCGTTTTAAACATATATGAGTGTTGTTCAGATGTGCCTCCACTTATAATTGATGCTTCAATGGAATTTACTAAATTTTCCATGTTATGCAATGATTCTGTAAATTGAATAGCATTCTTATTTTTTGAAAGTATTCTGGGAGGATTATATGCATAATTAAATGTAACATTTTTCATTATTAACACTATTTCAGACTCTCTCCTAAATGTGTGATAATGAATTTTCATATTTTTTATAAAATCTAAAATGCACTCCATTCTATTATATAATTCGCTTGTGTTATTGATTTTATAATTTATTTTATAGTTAAATGATAATACAGATTTGTAAATATTACTTAATTTACTACCTTCTTTATAAAATTTGGAAAAATGACTATTAAATATCGATAAATCTTTTAAACTAATAACCTTCAGTTCTTCATCTACAACTTCTTGCAATTTTTGTATATTTATATTAAAAGCATGTGCTAATTCATTGTATTTGAAATATAAATGATTGTTAATTTTTTTTAAATCTTCATTTATCCTAGTTAAATAATTTGGATCAATTTTAAAAATGATTTCTGGTGTGATCGGATTAAATGAAGAGCTACTACCCCCATGAGAATAATTCATTAAATTATTCCTACTTTTTTTCTTATAATCATCCCCTTTTTCAATAATTTTTTTCTTCTTTGCCTTATGTCCAGTATTTTCTTCTAACTTTCTTTTTAGTGAAGCACTAGTACATGGCTCACCATCATCCCCTTTTTCACTAATTTTTTTCTTCTTTGACTTATGTCCAGTATTTTCTTCTAACTTTCTTTTTAGTGAAGCACTAGTACATGGATCATCATCATCATATGGAACTCTTCTATAATTAAAATTAAATAAAATATATATATATATAAAATGCTTAATTAAAATAAATAAGTTTCTTCATGAAAAAAAAATAAATATATATACTTTTCTACAGGTGGACCATAAGTAGTATTTTGTGTGTTGTGGTAAATGCTTTGAGGGTCAGTTGATGTATCATCATCAAAAAATTTTTTTTCTATGGAATCCTTTACATTAGGGGAACTATTATACCTAATGATGGAATATTGTTCAGGAATAAGAAGAATATATACATTTAAAACATTTAATTAAAATATATAATTAAGCATAAACAATAAAAATAGGTATACCCTTTTAAGGATAAATCAAGAGGCATATATTGAGTCTTACGGTGATCCTTTTGCGATGCACATAATATACTTTGATGATAATTTTTTTTTTCAATTAAAATCTGTATAGGAGAAGAAACATCTTCCATGTGGGGTGATGATTCCTGTCTATAAATGAAAAAATCACGTTTATGTGAAACATTTAATTAAAATAAAAAGTTTTTTATTTAAAATATAAAAAGAAATACATACCGTTCTAAGGATATATCTAAAGGAGTA